TTCCGTCAACGGTCCTTAACTGAAGGACAAGGTTGACGGAAAATTTCCGTCCACGGTCGGGAAGGGGTTAAGGGGTTAAGAGATCCCTCTCTACATACCTCAAAACAGAATGCACGTGTCATGGTTGATTATATATTTCCTGCCTGTTCTATGTTAAATGTTGTATTTATTGTGTATTAATATTGTTTTTGTATTTTATTGTACCCTAATTGTAACTATGCAATGATTTGTGGACCCAGGACATACTTGAAAACGAGAGCAATCTCAATGTATCTTTCCTGGTAAAATATTTTATAAATAAATAAATATATATTTATTTTATATTATATACAAATATATATAATTATAATTATATATATTTAATCAATATCATTCTATGTGTATTTTGACATTAATATATATATATAATTATACATATTAATATTAAAATACACTTAAACAGTGTATGTGTATATATGTATATATGTATATATATATTCTTAGATCATATATATAATATATATACATTTTTCAGGCAGCAGGGGGAGTACCTGTCGTCCATGTGATCGTGAGGTCCTCACAAGGACCTCGCGATCACATGGCCCAGGAGGACCGGAATGGAAGCAGGGGGACTCCCTGGGATGCCAGGTGAGTCCACCCACCGCGATCACTGGTGTGGGATCACCAGCGACCAGGTAAGTGAATAGGACGGCGGGGATGTGCTATGTCGCCCCCCTGCATTTAGAGCCTGGTTCCCAAGGACGGCATAGTACGCCCGCCACCCCTTTTAAGGACTGAGCCAAATGTACAGGTTGTGATAAAAACAAAACGTAAACAAAACCTGGAATTTTTTTTTTTTTTTTTAAATTCTTTATTTTTGTTGTGCATTATGGGTTACAAACATGCCTGTTATGCCACGACAGCAGTCACAGGTATATCAACGTAAATATTGTCATGACAGGTTGAAGCTGCACATTTTTATAAGTAAGTATGCGTACGAATACATGTGATCAATGTTAAATGTATGCGAGTTGTTGATAGTTATGCTTAACTGGTGGTTGTTGTTCTATGCCTGGCACATTTTAGCAATCATTTGACTCAAACAATTATGAAACTTAGGGGAAACCAGCTTAGTTTAGTAGTGTTACTCATATATCAGAAATACCGTTTTGTTCATACTTAGATTACCGGTCGATGAACTATAATAGCTTAAAAGAAAAAGGAAACTAAACCAGGCTATGGCATATAATAACAAAGTAATAGGGTTCTGTCAACGGTAATTGCATCAGGCTAGTTTTAACATGTAACTCGGTTGATATGTGATGGAGCCTATACATCAAAATTGTGCCTTGCCAGATGTGGTGCTCCAGTAATTAAGCATTTAGTTACAAGCACTTCCCTGGACCCAGATTAACCAGCTATGCCTCCCACCTCCCGAGAAAAAGACACAACAGTATTAGCTAGTTAAGTGCAGATCCCCATATTCCTGACTGGTAGCTGGTAAAAACGACTGAGTTACTAAGAACCCCCTTTATGTTGGCAGTCTCTTATATTTAGACAGTATTTTATGCTTGCCGCTGGTGTTCAAGGTTGCAGTCATGTCCATGTTCCCCCGGTTGCTCCGGTAGGAGTAGTAGTGGGGACGTCGGATCATCCAGTGGGTTGTGGAGCATTGTTGTGCCCATTCGCTTGTAGTCTTGTGGATGTTGTCCGCCCGTTCCGCTTTGCTGCTTGGTGGAGAGACTTTTGCGTTGTGGCTCAATGCTGGTAAGAGGGTAAAGTATAGTTGTCGTAGATAGGTCGTATGAGTCTCTGCATTATCGGTGCCCCCTGTGAGTTAATTGCAATCTAGATGTCGGTTGGTCGTTAGTTGGTGGCGCGGTCTCACCAGGGGTGGCTGTGAGTGGTTAGCCTTTTTTGCTTGGTTGCTGTAGTAGTGGCTTGTTGCTTGCCATAATAGTCGTCGGACCAGCTTGTTCCCGGAGGTCTCTTTGCTCCCCTCGGGATCGTGGAAAGGGCTTACCCTCCTTCTGTCAGCCGCCATTTTAGTTGCGGCATTTGGGCCACGAGGCTGGGTGGCAACGGTGTTGGCCCCCGGGTTGTGCTGTTTCGGTCTGGGTCCCAGGGTGCGGACCGGGATCACCCCCACCAGTCCAGGGGGGGGGACAGGGCCAGATCCACACGGTTGCCGTCCTTTGGTTGGGTCTGTTAGGCAGGATAGTGGAGCAGCGGCCGTCCGCCCCACTCACCGCCAGAGTAGGCCCAAATTAGGGCATCAAGGGTCTCTCCTCCTGGGGACTGTAGCTTGGGGAGCCAGCCTCACCCTGGATCCAGTGTCCCCTGTACACTGAGGACAGGCACTGGCGGTCCTTGGTATGGTTAGAAATGTTCTTTTTGTGGCTATTTAGTTATTAATTTGTAGGAGCTGAGCTGCCATGCTGCCTTCCAGCTCGGCGGTCCGGCCCCGCCCAAAACCTGGAATTTGACTATATGTCTGTTCAACCATAATTCACCTCTTTCTTATTAAGTGCACCCACACTTATTATATATTATTTTATTCAGGGGAAACAGGGTTTTTTTTTAACATCAAATATTTTGCTATGAAACATAATTTAATATGAATAAAATATTTTAAAAAATGGGAGAAAATAAGAAATTTCGTTTTTTTTTAGTTCTATATATATAATTTTTTAAAATTACTTTTACTTATATATTGGTATATATATATATATATATATATATATATATAGAGAGAGAGATATATACGTATATACTTATCTATATAGATATATAGAGTATTTCGTTCTATATATATATATATATTGATATCAAAATACAGTTAGAACGAAATTACACACATATATAAATTTTTACTTTTTTTTATGTACTTACATTTATTTATTTTATATTATATATAAAATTCTTCATATATTTAATCAATATCATTCTACGGCTATTTTGATATTAATATATATATTTAATTTTATATATATATATATATATATATATATATATATATATATATATATATATTAATATTACAATACACTTAGACAGTGTATGTGTATGTATGTGTAAGTGTATATATATATATATGTTGTGGACAAAAATATGAACCCAATTTATGTTAGTAAAATGCCTATTTACTCAGCATACCTTACAATCAGTATTATTCAATTTCATATGTGATTTACCTAAAATGGCCGCTAGGGAGTTTCCCTTTGACATCGACTAACACCCTCACTAACAAGATGGCGCTGGAATCTGGGGGAGACCTCCAAGATACCAGTGACATCACACCCGGTAGGAAGAGCAATAAATGAACCACTTAACACCTAACCAATTATTAATGTTTTATTCCATGTTATCTCTGACAGTGCATATGATGTAATTTTAAGGGGTATGCCAGCCCCTCTGAATAAACATTCCTCAAGTTTTTCATTAACCCGAAACCTGTGTCTGGTGTGAATTACTTCAGGAGCGTGCACGTATTGTTTCTTTAATTTGGCCGTGGGCAGATACACAAGATAATCAATTAATTGATCGATTCCACATCATCTATATATATATACTTAGATCATATATAGAATATATACATATATATATATGATATAAGTATATATTATTTAATTTTACAATGTTTTTAAACTTTATTTTACTTTTTACAGGCAGTCATTACATGCACTCCCCCTGCTGGCATTGCTGTGTTATCGTGAGGTCCTCGCGATCACACAGCCCAGGAGGGCCGGAAAGGGAGCAGGGGGACTCCCTGGGATGCCAGGTGAGTCCCCCCACTGTGATCGCCGGTGTGGGATCGCCTGCGATCGGGTAAGTGAATAGGAGGGTAGGGACGTGCTATGCCGCCACATGGCGTTTAGAGCCGGGTTAACAAGCACGGCATAGCACGCCCGCCATCCTTAAGGGGTTAATTAAAGAGATACCGTCTATTTAAATGGTGCATGTTGTGAAAAGCTAAATTCTTTTTCAAACGCACTAAGGAATTTCTATATATATAGTAATCATTCTCCTGTTTCATATGTTGGAACAATTTGTGTAAAGACATTAAATAATATGCATTGTAATTTATTATTATTTATAAAGTGCCAACAAATTCCATAGTGCTGTAGTGGACAAACAGTGGACAAGTATTTGCAACAAGACGAGCTGGACACACAGGAATAGACGGTGCTGAGGGCCCTTTAATGACAAAGGCTGCTTTGTATCCTGAGGACAAGAGCAATGTTTACATTTTTGCCATATCGTCATTCAATGCATAAACAATTATAACCAAAAAACTAAATTCCACCTAAAAGGAAGGAATAAGTGCAGGTGGATTGGCACTAAAACAGAACAGCAACTACCCCCAGTGTCTGTAAATCACTCAAAAGACACTACCAAATAGTGATAAAACAAGATAACAAAGTGGGGGGTGCAATTTACAGATAAAAAGCATAAAACGTATATACTTATAGTTAAACGTTCCTTAAACTTAATCTGAAAAACATAAAAGTCCATACATAGTGTAATACTGTATAATGTAGGAAAGATAGAGACAAAGGTATTGGGTCACTCACAATAGATAGAGCCTAGAAAGCAGGCTCTAACTTGATCACATGTGGAAAATCAGCTTTCCCAAGCTATACAGAATGGCCCCACGATCCTCCTGTAGGTACTGGTATTCAACTCCAGACGTAGGAAAGATGGATAATAGACCAAAATATTGTAGTAGTTAAAAAGTATTTACTTCCAATAAAATAACAATGCAATAAAATATAATATAAAATAATAATATTACATAAACTGACACAACGCGTTTCGACAAACTGTCTTTATCAAGTGTATAACGTGAATCTTCTTCCGGCGTTCCTTTTAAATCTTTAGTTCCGGAAATATGATCCTCCCGCCGAAATTCTCTTCCGGTATGACGTCATGACGCACGTAACGTCCATACGTCACTTCCTGTAAGTCCACTCAGCGAACCGGAAGCAGCCAAAAACTTAATTTCATCTAAGGACACTAATGCATAAACAATGTTCTCTTTTTCATACACTTCATAAAGGTAGAACTCTTCATCAAGAATAGAAACAATAATTTCCTGGTCATGGCAGCACTGCACTCAGGCTAGCTCTTTCTGCTACTTCGATTGGACAGGAAAAATGTTGATTATCCATAAATACCTCCTCCATGGCTAAATATCTCCAGTTCTTTTCCTGTCCACATTCCCTTTGTACATTAGTCTTTTGGCTCTATACTTTTTCTTTCGTTGGCTACCCAAGACTGTTTACTGCCCTTGCCTGGATGGAGTTCAGCCTCTCTTCTCTGGAATCTGCAATACATGGCGCCTCACCAAGACTTACAGTATAGCCTATTATAATTTGTTGACAACTAATGTATCTAAAGACACTTATGAGAGAATCAAGGCTCCCAACTAGATTTGGCAGAACTGTCCCTACTTTGGGGTTCTGTCCTTCTGTCATGGATACACTACACAACTCACAAGTCTTACATCAGAAATAGGAAAGGATGTATTATCGGACCTTAGAGTGGCCAGGCTTAACGTAAAACATAAATAGTCAAAAATGGAAATTCTAGCCAAGATCAGTATAACAGAAATACAGGCATACGATATAACTAGCCAGGTCAGGATTATAGTGGTCAACAAAGTCACATAACAAGCCAAAGTCAAAATAAAAGAAAATTAGAGAATACTATAACTCACTGAATGTGGAACCAGGAGGAAACCATGACAGGGTAATAAACACGGGGCTAATACTTATTTAAATATTATGGGGCACTCTGATTGGTCCACGTCAGCCTTGCGACACCAAAAAGTCCAGGAACGTAGTCGCAGTGATAATGTAGACCCCCAGAAATTACACTAGGTATCATATACTAAGGTAGAGGGGCGCCTCGAGCATGCAGCATCCTTCTTCCTGCTTGGAGAACTGTACTTGTCTACCTCCTGATTTGGCATTTGGGAAGTCCTAATTTAAGTGCTGATCGAGAGGGCAGAAGAGGACCGGAATTCATGGCTTCCCGATCAGTGCATGCAGTAATGTCTGAGCAGCGCGTTCCTTGAGCAGCACACCATATATTAGATACACTCTCACTATGCGGCTGGCACTAGGATCAGCGATGTATCTTACACGAGGCAAACAAGGCATTTGCCTTGGGCGGCACTTTGCAGGGGGCGGCAAAATAAGCCATCCCCAGATGCCCAGGTGGATTCCTTGTTTGCCTCGTGTCCTGGGGGGCTCAAGAGCTGGCGGGCTGGCCACTTGTGAGCCCCCCCCAAGAGGGCGGCAGCTTCTATTGCGGCAGGCAGCGAGGGAGTATGCTCACCTGACCTCTTCCTGCTCAGCTGCCTCGTGCGCCGTCACTCCGGCTCCCGGCATCATTAAGCGGCATGCGAGGGAGCTGAGCAGGAAGATTAGAGTTCCCTCGCTGCCTACTCTCCCTGCATGCCCACGCAGCAGCCCCACTGGACCGCAGGTATTAATCCACTCCAGCTCTCCCATGGAGGCTGGGTGGATTTCAATAAAAACTAAAAAAAATAAAATAATTTGTGAGTGTTGGGGGAAATGTGTGTGTGTGTCTGTGAGTGTGTATTTGTGTGTGTGTGTCTGTGAGTGTGTATGTGTGTCTGTGAATGAGTGAGTGTGTGTCTGTCAGTGCGTGTGTCTGTGTCTGTCAGTGAGTGTGTGCGCCTGTCAGTGTGTGTGTGCGCCTGTCAGTGAGTGTGAGTCTGTCAGTGTGTGTCTGAGTAATAGTGTGTGTCTGTCAGAGTGTGCCAAATCAGTGTGTGTTTGTGTATGTCATTGTTTGACAGTGTATATGAGAGTGTGTATCTGTCAATGAGTGTATGCGTCTGTCAGTGAGTGTGTGCGTCTGTCAGTGAGTGTGTGCATATGTCAGTGAGTGTGAATCTGTTAGTGTGTGTCTGAGTAATAGTGTGTGTCTGTCAGAGTGTGTCAAATCAGTGAGTTTATCATTGTTTGTCAGTGTATATGTGAGTGTGTGTCTGTCTGTCAGTGAGTGTGTGTTGGTTAAACAGTACGTGTGCCAATGACTGTGTATCTTTTAGTGAGTGTATGTCAGTGAATGCATCAGTAAGAAAATGTCTGTCAGTCAAAGTGCGGCCTTGACAGGAAGGGGTGGGGAAAATTTAAATATAGGGGGAGGGGTGCCCAAGCACCGTCATACCTAGGGCAGCACAAATCCAAAATAGACCACTGACTAGGATCATGCAAAGACTGTTTCAGCAGTGCTCTCTTTATGGCCCTGTATGCTGCTTGTTGTCTATCAGTATGACATGCTTGATGCCAGGCTGATATTCCCTTCATTGAGTAGACACAGCTCGGAATGTTGGGCGGTATGGTCAAAATAGCTTCATCTATGTGTGTAGAGTTTGGAGCAGTGGAGGCTCTAGACTTGGCGAGGCCTTAGGCGAAAATCATACCCCTAATGAGGCCCCCACTAATGCCATTATTGAAAAAAATAGCAGTTGACTTGTGTGTGTGTAAGAAGCTGTAGATATATTGAATGGGGAGCTTGCAGCACTGGATATAGAGAGCTAGTCTCTCTATACATTGTTGCATTGTCTACCTGTGTGTGCCTGAGAGTGTGTGTCTGGCAGGGAGTATTCTTGTATCTGTATGTATGTTTTTCTGAGCATGTGTATGTTTGTGTACTGCCTTTGGCACTGAGTTTATTGCGAAGTTATGTTTTATGACGGTGTGTATAATGATTGCCTTCAGGGGGTGACAGGGTGAGTAAAGGGGTAACTGTGGCTGGGTGAGTGTAAAAGAGCAGGAGGGTGCCAGAGTGTAGGGAAGGGGGTGCCAGATTGTTGAGGGTTGACAGTGTGTATGAAGGGAGGTGCCAGAGTGCGGAGAGTGATGCCCGTGTGTGTGCGGAGAGTGGTGCCTGTGTGTTTGGAGGGAGTGACAGTTTGTATGGGGGAGGGGGGGTGACAATGTGTATGGAGGGGTGACAGTGTGCATGGAGAGGGTGCCAGTGTGTGTGGAGAGTGACAGTTTGTATGGAGGGGGGTGACAATGTATATGGTGGCGTGACAGTGTGCATGGAGAGGGTGCCAGTGTGTCCGGAGGGTGGTAACTGCACCTGTCTGTGGGTTTTCTCTAAACCGAGGTGTGGATTGTGCCATTGTTACATGTCACAGTGGTGTCCAGAAAATTCACAGATCTAGTGGAATATTCCATTTTGATCATGATATCTCCCATACTAAACAGGGCATCATCTACAGTCAAGCCACTAGGTACCATCGCATATGCTTTGATCCTAATGACCGTAATTCTCATCTAAATGTACTCTCCCAATCTATGAGACAGAAAGGCTACAAACCAAAGACTTTTACCAAACAAATCAACTCTGCTGTAAAATCTCCACGCACGCGCCTGCTACAGTACAGAGAGAAAAGAATATATCTACACGAGTGCCACTTGTGGTCATCTACAACCCAGCTCTTGAGGAAAATCATTAAAGACTTACAACCAATGTTAACAGAAGACGAGAATGAAAAACATTTTTTCTGAAACACATATTTTGGCCTTCAGACAACCACTAAACCTCCAACATAAATTAATCAACAGGAAGCTGCCCACTGATGGGAAGAATAAAGAAACCAGTCAATGCAAAAAAACTCACTGCAAACTGTGAAAGCACATATACACAGACAACCAAGCCACCCAAAACAACAAAACCTACAACATTAAAGGATCATGCTCCTGCACATCCAGAAATGTGCTATACATGACTCAATGCACCAAATGCCACCTAGGATACTACATTGGGGAAACCACCCAACAATTAAATGGCAGAATGAATATGCACTGACACTCCATTAAACACCACAAAGAGGAATCATACTGCACTCTAGACATGTGCAATTCGTTTCGGTCCGAATTAAAATTTGGCTGAATTTTGGGTAATTCGGACATTCGGGTGCTTCCGAATGTCCCAACAGCTGAAGTCCCGAAGTGCCAAAATTACAGAATTTACGAAGTGTAGTAGTGCCGAATTGCTAAAGTGCTGCAGTTCCGAAGTTGCCAAAGCTCCGAGGTGTCAAAGTGCCGAAGTTCCGAAACACAGTATTGCCTAAATACTAATATACTTACCCAGTGAAAGAAGAATGTTACATTGTATACAGTTTTAAATAAAAAGTATACAAACATAGCCAGGATTCAGCTGTAAGCGTTTGCAACACTTACAACAATCAAGTAACACACATTCATATAAAATGTAAGTTACTTAGCCAGTCAAGTAATGATAGGAATGAATAAGTAGATAACTCCCTAATTCCCACGGTACTAGGGAGCTATCTACTAAAAGGCTGAAAGACATGAATTGGTCTTTCAGACAAATTTACTAATACTAAGTAAAGATTACTTAGTATTAGTAAATTATGCCCCTACTCGCTTTACCGCGAGTAGGGGCATTTCTATTAAACAGTGAGCAGCCTGTGGCTGCTTACTGTTAAAAAAAAAGAAGCAATTTTTTTGCCCCCACCCCTGAGCGGGGACCCTAAACTAGAATAAGGGTGGGAGGGGACCTAATGTCCTCCCTCCTGGCCCCCACCCCTGAGTAGTGGGTGGGGGCCCTAAACTACAATAAGGGGGGGACCTAATGTCCTCCTCACCTGGCCCCCACCCCTGAGCGGTGGGTGGGGGCCCTAAACAAGAATAAGTGGGGGGGACCTAATGTCCTCCCCTCTGGCCCTCACCCCTGAGCAGTGGGTGGGAGCCCTAAACAAGAATAAGGGGGGGGACACCTAATGTCCTCCCCCCTGGCACCCACCCCTGAGCGGTGGGTAGGGGCCCTAAACTAGAATAGGGGGGGGGACACCTAATGTCCTCCCCCCTGTCCCCTGCCCCTGAGCAGTGGGTGGGAGCCCTAAACAAGAATAAGGGGGGGGGACACCTAATGTCCTCCCCCCTGGCACCCACCCCTGAGCGGTGGGTAGGGGCCCTAAACTAGAATAGGGGGGGGGACACCTAATGTCCTCCCCCCTGTCCCCTGCCCCTGAGCAGTGGGTGGGGGCCCTTAATACAAATTGGGGGGGACCTAATGTCCTACCCCCTGGCCCCCACCCCTGAGCGGCGGGTGGGGGCCCTTAAATACAAATTTAACCCCCCTCCCCCCAGGTGACTAGGGGTCCACAAACCCCTAGTCATCCCCTCCCCCAAAAAATAAACCCGTACCTAACCCCCTCACCCTAAAAATAATGAGGGGAGACCTTTAACTAAGTACCTGTAAAAATAAACTTACCATTTGATGTTTTCTTTCTTCTAAAATCTTCTTTTTTCAGCCCAATAAAAGGCCAAATAAAAATCCATAATAACCGACACAATAATAAAAAAAAAGAGCGCAAAAAAAAAAAATAATCCATCTTCACCCGGCGAGGGCTACGCGCAGACTGAGCTCTGCAGGGTGGGGCAAGGCTTATAAAGCCTTCCCCCGCCCTGCAGAGCTCAGTCTGCGCAGAGCCCTCCAGGGGTGAACATGGATTTTTTTTTTGGCGCTTTTTTTTTATTTTTTATTGCATCAGTTATTATGGTTTTTTATTTAAGATTTTAGAAGAAAGAAAACTTTGGGGGGAGGGGGTGACTAGGGGTTTGGGAACCCCTAGTCACCTGGGGGGGGAACATTTTTTTTAGGGCCCCCACCCGCCGCTCAGGGGTGGGGGCCAGGGGGGAGGACAATAGGTCCCCCTATTGGTATTTAGGGCCCCCATCCGCCGCTCAGGGGTGGGGGTCAGGGGGGAGGACATTAGGTCCCCCCCTTATTTGTATTTAGGGTCCCCACCCGCCGCTCAGGGGTGGGGGCCAGGGTGAGGACATTAGGTCCACCCCCTTATTCCAATTTAGGGCCCCCACCCGCCGCTCAGGGGTGGGGGCCAGAGGGGAGGACATTAGGTCCACCCCTTATTAGTATTTAGGGCCCCCACCCGCCGCTCAGGGGTGGGGGCCAGGGGGGAGGACATTAGGTCCCCCCCCTTATTCCAATATAGGGCCTCCACCCACCGCTCGGGGGGGGGGACATTAGGGCCCCCACCCGCTCAGGGGTGGGGGCCAGGGGGGAGGATATTAGGTCCCCCCCTTATTTTACTGTAGGGCCCCCACCCACCGCTCAAGGGTGGGGGCCAGGGGGGAAGGACAATAGGTTCCCCCCCCCTATTTTACTGAAGGGCCCCCACCCACCGCTGAGGGGTGGGGGCCGGGGGGGAGGGACAATAGTTCCCCCCCTTAATTTACTGTTGGGCCCCCATCCACCGCTCAGGGGTGGGGGGCCCTATTTTTTTTTTTATAAACAGTGAGCAGCCTACTAGCGGTAAGGGTGCGTCTGGATTCCAGCGACAGCCAGTTTAGTTCTTTTAGCATGTCACAATGGTGAGTCCTGTAATTACATTGTAGCACAAATCGGCAGAACGAGTTATACAATGTGTTGAGTTTACTAATGTGGGATTGCGATGAAGATGCATATACTACATCCCCATAATCAATGATTGGCATCAGCATTAGCTGTACAATCTTTTCCTTTACTGTAGGGCTTAGGCAGGATCTAGATTCCCCTGAGTACAAAAATGTACCTTATGATTACCTTTGATTGTTTTTTGGTGTAATTTCAGGACCAAATTTGGGATCTGGACATTTTCATTTGGAAGTTTTGATGCTGGACCTGTGTCTCACTTTTGATAGCTAAGCTGGCCTCCATTTTAAATTGTGATAACATGGGGGGCACTAACATTTTATACATGTGGAATAATTCATGTGCAGTGGCACTGTGGCACATTAATTTGTTTTTTTTAATTATGTAGCTTTTTGTCATGTTCGGTAGCATTTTGAACGTTTCACTTTTTTGTAGATTTTGTTTTTCTTTCTAAGCAGGTTTGGTGTTTGCATTTATGTTCATTATAAAACGGGTAGATAGTTTTTATATTTTTGCCAGTTTATTTGTTTTGTCGTCTAAAGTCAATATGCAGTGATTTTGTCAGGATATTTTGTATGTTTAATTGTATTCATATTTGTTCAATAATAAAATAAATTTTACGTTTATATTTCTATGTGTAAATCTATCGCCATCTACAGGGATTTCATATTTCAAGCACATGCTGAATCTTCACATTGTTTAATCCCATTTACTGCTAGAATAGTGTGTATCATTTATAAAATACTAACATATTCCACAGCGCTGTACAATTGGGGAAAATACAGTGTACAGTATAGACATGCCTATACAAAAGGAACAGAGGATCATGCCCAGAAGCCGAGATCTAGCATTTCCAGCCCTTTTATACATAGATACGGTATATTATTATTATTTATATAGCGCCAGCAAATTCTGTAGCGCTGTGTATATATATATATTTCCTGGCTAATCATGGCAGCATTTAACATATGGGTTTAGCTCCTCCCTCCAACCCTCAGGACAGGAAACACAATCAATTAAACAATTAAGCCTACCTTCCCCTAGTATATTAGGTACCCCAGTATCCCCCATACCTCAGTCTTTTCCTGTCCTCCTAGCCCTAGGACAGTTTAAATATTTTTTTTTTTTTTCTTTTTTCAGTTTCTTCTGAATTATTTTTTATTTTTTGCTCACCTGACCATGTTTTATATGGTCTTGTCCCTTTGGAGGTCAGCCTCCCTCCTCAGGAAGCCCAGGCACATGTAACCCAATCTCCATGGAGTTGGGAACCCCTGGGAGCCTGGGTGGTTAGTTCCACAGGCTATGGGAATCCTCTGCAGTCCAGTGTGTGCTGCAGACCTCGATCAGACGATCAGCATAACGGTAAGACGCCCGCGCATGCGCAATGCATCCGACCGGACCCAGAGTGAAGTTTGCCCCTTTCCAAAATGGCGGTTTAGCGATCTCGCGACCGAAGCGCGCATGTGCGATCATTTAAAGGTACAGAGCGGGAAATTTGAAATGGCGGTATTTAGCTTAAAAAACGCTCGTTTCCGTTCCCTTTAAAGATACAGTGCTCTAGTAGACTGTTCTTAAAGCTCTGCAGGTAAGAGAATTACTTATATTTTAAAATCAGCATAATATTGGGCTGGGAATACTTTTCTTATTATTTTAACATTCTTAGCCCTACAGTCAGTATGGATCCTTCATCCCCTTCTGCAAGATCAACGAGATCTGCTATAGGTCATAGGTGAGCAATATTTTTTCTTGGTTTCTTCACGTTTCTAAAAAGAGTGCACAGAGGGTACAGTCTTATGACTTCTGTATCTTACAGCCCTCGTGACCGGTCCTGTCCCAGATCCCCATCGAGGAGAAGGGAGAAGCCGGCAGCCTGCCCTGGATGTGGAGCAAGGCCTTTGGATAACTGCAGGCTCTGCAGAAAATGCTTAAACATGGCCGCAGGAGAATCTGATCGCCAGAGGTCACCGCAAGCCTCTACCTCCTCAGCCAAGGATATTGCTTATTGGATTAAGCAGGCAGTGGTTGAAGGAATTGC